TCAGCGCAGTCTCTTAAATAGCACCTTCTCAGAGTGGCTCAACCAGTTTTGCTGCTGACAACCAAAACCAGCTGATCACATGCTCAAGAAGGACCATCAGCCTAACAATGGATCATTAGCACACTGATGGCTGTTTACTATTCACAGAGGGCTGAGCGATACTAGCAATCACAGCATTGTAAGAGGGGGACAATTGAGCACATAGGCCTCCACCCCTGTTTAACGATGGACAATTTCTTTTCACAAAGATGGCCTCCTTTACTCCTCTCTCAAACCATCGTTCCTCTCTATCCAGGATGTGAACATCTTCATCCCTGAAAGAGTGGCCGCTGGCCTGGATATGAGTGTAGACCTCAGAGTCCTGGCCTGATGATGTTGATCTTTTGTGCTGGGCCATCCTTTTGGCCAGTGGCTGTTTTGTTTCCCCGATGTAAGACTGATCACAGCCCTCCTGACACTGAACAGCATACACAGCATTACTCTGTTTGTGCCGGGGGACTGGATCTTTGGGATGAACCAGTCTTTGCCGTAATGTATTTTGGGGTTTAAAAGCCACTGGGACGTTATGTTTAGAAAATAAACGTCCCAGTTTCTCTGATACTCCCTCAACATATGGAATGACCACTGGTCTGGGTCTGGGTTCCTCCTTTTCACCTGTTGGCTGACTGGAGTCCTGTTTGGGTTTCTTCTCTGCTTTCAGGAAGGCCCAGTTAGGATATCCACATTGCTCTAGAGCCTGTCTTGTGTGGGATTTCTCCTTCTGCCTGGCTCCTGAGCTAGTGGGGACACTGTCTGCTCTGTGATACAGAGTCCTGATGACTCCTAACTTGTGCTCCAAAGGGTGATGGGAGTCAAACTGCAAATACTGGTCTGTGTGGGTGGGTTTGCGGTACACCTCAGTTTGCAAATGTCCTCTATCAGTGACTGAGACCTCACAGTCCAAGAAAGCCAACTTGCCATTTTTTCATCTTCTCGTGTGAACTGCAAATGTATTTATCCACAGAGTTGACATGGTCAGTAAAATGTTGGACTTCCTGAGATTTAATTTTAACCCAGGTGTCGTCAACATACCTGAACCAATGACTTGGTGGTGTCCCTGAAAAGGACGTCAAGGCTCTCTTTTCTACCTCCTCC